GCCGGCATGGAAGACTTAACACCAAGGTGATGTGTCATTGGGAGAGTGCCCTGCAATCAAGATGCCTAATATACGTATCATTCAAAGAACACTCCGCGGACAACATGTCTTGGACTCTGAGGACATTCAGAAAACACTTCGTGGCCAAGATGCCGAAGACTCTGCAGACAAGATGCCGATGACACGTGTCGTCCAAAGAACACTACGCGGACAAGATGCCAATGATGCGTGTCATCTAAAGAACACTACGCGGATAAGATGCCGAGGACACATGTCGTCTAAAGAACACTCTGCAGATAAGATATCGAGAACATGAGTTGTCTAAAGAACACTCTACGGCTAAGATGTCGATGACAAGTGTCGCATCCCCTTGATTACAAAAACTTCCCATCATGTTTCTAATAAAATCTAGTTCTACTTCTAACTTGATTTCACACACGACTTAGTTCTCTTGTTGGCAGAGCAATTTTGTCATTTGCTTGGATAGGTCGTGGGCCAGTTTGATAAGCTGAAATATAACTCGATTGACCGAACCATTATTTGGGCAAAAACACTCTGTTATTAGTGATTCATTCTTCGTCACATGACAATCGACATGTGTTTTTTTCTTCATTTGACTTACGCCACATATATTTCAATCATGCATAATTATTCAGAGCTCATTCAATATTTATTTCACCACATTTAAACCCACGTTGAATTCAATTCGATAAGTCAGATGGAATTGAAATTTTTAACAAATGACTTGAGTTCCAATGGGAACTCAACTATCATAGTTTGTAAGGGTGTCAATCGTTTTGTGTTGTGTCACTTTTAGTTATGTTATTTTTTGTGTCGTGTTATTTTCGAAACGTGTAATATTAATTTTAATAAAAAATTATTTAATTTGACAATAACTCTTATAATACTATTTAAAATTATTTAACTTGTGTTATTTTTGAGTTTTGTGTCGAGTCGAGTTCGTGTTAACGAATAAAATTGATACCCCTAATATTTTGCCTTATTGGATTTAGATAGGCTATAATTCGGTCTTTTAATGGTCGCATCCGAATTTATGCTTAAAAATAAAATCTATTTATTAAAAACAAATATAATAAATTGAGTAATAATATATAGATTTAAAAATTAACTCGATAATCACAATTATTGAATAGATAGCGGATCTCAATAAATACTGAGCCACACAGTGAAATCAATAATTTTATAATATTACTGTTATAAATTTGGGTTAATCTCATTTTGTATCCCGAAAGATTGTCAATTTATACCCTCAAAGATAGAAATTTGTATCAATATGCACCCCAAAGATAAAAAATCTCAATTTACACCCTAAAAGATAGAAATTTATATCAATGTGCACCCCAAAGATAAAAAATCTCAATTTGCACCTTCAAAGATAGAAATTTGTATCAATGTGCACCTAAAATTAAATTGATAAATTATGCCTAGATCCTCTCATACTTGTCACTTAATCATTTATACCTCTTCACATTTAGAATACTGCTCCTACATCTTATGACATTTGTGCACGTATAACACGTAACCCATTTTCATTGATATCTATTAATATAACCGTTAAAAAATATAATTTTATCCTAATAAAAAATTATAATTTCATATTACCATTTATTTTATGGGTTCAATATATTCTAAAGTTCAAAATCTAGTTTACCATTTGAATGTCTAATAAAATATAAATATTTATATAATGTTTTTCATATTACCTTTTATATAAATATCTACATTTTATTAGACATTCAAATGGTAAGCTTGATTTTCAACTTTAGAGTATATCGAATCCACAAAATAAAAGGTAATATGAAATTATAATTTTTTGTTAGGATAAAATTATATTTTTTAACGATTATATTAACAGATATTAACGAAAAGTGGTTATGTGTTACACATGCACAAACGTCGTGAGATGTAAGGGGAATATTCTAAATGTGAAGGAGTTCAAATGATTAAGTGACAAACATGAGTGAATCTAAATATAATTTATCAATTTAATTTTAAGTGCACATTGATATAAATTTCTATCTTTGAGGGTGAAAATTGAGATTTTTTACCTATAAATTTGTTCGGCTAAAAGAGTAATTTTGTGTGTGTAATAAATATATTAGGTTTTCACTGCATCCTTCGTTCTTCCTAGAGCCACCCTCTGCCTCACTCTCTCTGCTGGGCTGAGACGAAGGGATCTGCAGCTGAAACCTTCACAGCGTTTGCAATTACCTACTTCTGCTCCAGAGACCATAACGAAGAGATTATTCTTGCAGGTACACAGGTTAGGTGTTTGGTTCATAAATCTTGTGGATTTTTGCTGAAAAGGAATCGTGAAATTATTTTTTTGCAACTGCTGTTGACTAATTTTACTCGTTAATTTTATCATCTTCTTTGAGTATTCAAAGATGATTAAGATCTATTATTAGGATGCTTTTAGAACACTATTGGCTTCTTTGATAAGCTAATTCATTGACTTGAAGCTGACTTATTGCTTTTTCCATGTTCGTTGAAAGGGAATGAAGGGGTGATATGGGTTAAAGTGTTAATCCTTAAAGAGTGGAATGGGGAATATGTTTTTTGTGGAAAAGAGAATACGTAGATACCTGCTTACTTTGGTTAATCCTATTGTTAGTAATTGAAATGGAGAATACGTAGATACATTGCCGAACCGACCGGTTTTGGGCATTTTATTGGCCCTAAATCAGGGTATAAAAACCAGGGTTTTGGCCCTTTTGGGCATTTTTTTGCCCTAAATCGTTTTGCGCTCTCTGCCTATCGCAAAAGTCTGAGGTCCGACAGCCTCACACCTCACTGCCCCCCCTCTCTCTCTCTCTGCACGCTGGGACTCAATTGAAGTGTAGAACAGTCAGAAGTCAAAGGCAGCACGTACATCCTTCCCTCATTTTCTGCGCATTTACTTCCCTCAAGTGAGACACAGCACACAGCAGGAACATCCTAACACTCTCTCGCTCTTCCCTCTGTGTCTCTGTCTCTCTAGTTATTGTTGGTGGCATAAATCTGGATCTTTGTTGCTCTTGGCATGTGGATATTTTAAACAGACTCAGATTCTTATTGCTATTAGTGCACTGGTAGTTGCTTTAAACATTAATAACAGTCATGACTGCATGAATTCTGATTGAATCCTTTGTTACCCAACTCGGTGGTAGAACCTTTGCACTTTAGTAGGACTTTGTAGTTTGTTTTTTCTTTTAATGGATGGGTATTTTAGTCGCCAATGTTCAATATAGAATCACCAAATTTCTGCAGTATGTAGATTTGTTCCCCCCTCTACTTATTTCTACAGTATGTAAATTTCTGCAATCACTTATTTTTCTTTATTTAACTTTACAAGTTGTATTGGAAATTGAATGCATTGGATATAAGTTTGATGATTTTGTGGCTTTTGTTTGATCTAATACATTAAGTATTTTATTTTCATAATTATTGTGATTTTTAGCTTATTTATTATCATTTATAATTTTTTTATTATATTACTTATTCGACCCGATTGAAACAGTTATTTATTGACCCGGTCCATTTTCCGGCTTGATGTTCGGGCCGGGTTTTAACACTATGCTTAATAGTCCACCAACCTCCCTCTGGTAACTATTTCTTGATTTTATCTTCCTCTTTCTATCTCTCTTGCTACACATATATCTCTCTATGTGTGTGTATATTTCCATATCTTGAAAAGCCCGCGGGGTTTTGTATTTTTCCTCATGTTTGTACCTGATTGACCTTCTAAATTGAATATCTTTGAAGAATAATGTGTAACATGAGCATTAATATGTTTGATTCTAGAATTATCGAAATTAAGAAAATTAGAGTTTAGGTTTATGAAATCATGGGAAATTCAGTTTGCTTGAAGTTGAACACCCTTTCTTAAAGAATTTGATTCAATTGATGTTTTTATTGCAATTAAACTTGTGGGTTGTTCAAGGTTGTTTGATGTTTAATTCTTTGGTTCTCTCCTTTCTATGTCAAATCTGTTCATTTTACTTTCGGTCCTTTTCCTTTGCTGGGTTTTTCCCTTAGCCATTTGTTGCCCTTCAATCGCTTGAGAATCTAATTTATGGAGCCCTTTTTAGTTCCCTGGACTAGATAATCACATGAAAAGAAAAGGCCACCCTTGAAGAACCTTGGGCTCAAATCAGGGGCGCGTGCCTCACTCGGGTTTCGAAGGACTGGCACTTCGGATTTGTCTCAGACAATTTATCATCACTCCGTGAGCTTGTCACATCTATATATATAAAATAATCAAATTAGGGAGGAGAGGCCTCGAGAAGTCTCATTTTCTAAATTCTTAGTATTTTAAAATTTTTAATTCAAAACCTAAAGCTCCCTCCAATCAACTCCTACCGTGTGTCATTTGTAACCACCCTTCAATTCTCCTATAACTAACCACTATTTTTTTAGATTTATTTAAAAATATTATTTTTGTCAGCCAAAATATTTTCTACAATTATTTATCTAGCTTGTCAAGTGATAGAATAAAAATAAAAATAAAAATTAAAAAGAGATAAGAATTATAATCCCGTGCATCGTACAGGGCCGCTAGTGTCCAGATACAGCATTCTTGCCCACATGACAGGTCAAGTTTCACTGTATTGCTGGTCAAAATTTTGTCCTCCTTCAGGTGGAAAGTATTAAGACATACCTATACATATCATGATATATGTATTCTTAATCATGAGTTTGTGGTCTTGTAGTTTGTATGCTTTTGAACTCTCTTCACAAGTAAAATGCTTTATGGCTGTTCTGATGTTTTAATTCCATTTTGAAGGGGTTGCTCTTTGGAACAAATTAAAAACATGGCTGGTAAAGAGGCAAATAATTCAAGTAGTGAGTATTTTTTGCTTCATCTCTAAGTCTATCTGAAAACTTCCAGTACTTTTGTATAAGTCTTGTTTTAGCTATAACACATGTATCCTTCTAAAATCTGTTGTTGAAAACTTGATTTTCTTAGAGGGAAAAAAAAAGGAAGTGAAAAAAGAGACTGGTCTGGGCCTCTCTAATAAGAAGGAAGAGAACTTTGGGGAGTGGTATTCTGAGGTATGTTTCAGTTTTTTGGTCACGTGTTATTGTAAATTGATATGATTCTCTTAACAAGCTCAATTTTTTTTTCTTATATTCCTTCCTTCCGTTTTCTTTGTTTCAGTAGTATAAGAGTGGTTTAGTTATTGTTGTCTATTTGTACCTTGGCAGAGATAGGCATCCTGAAGTACAGAGGACAGCTTATATAGAACAAGAGTCACTCATACCACAATCTTTGGTTTATCAATGAAACCATGTCTATGTAATGATTGATAAAGTAATCTAATGGTAGTCTATATGCTTGGTGATATGCATGGTTATCTTGATGTCTAGAGTGAAAAGTTTGAAGAATAGAGTTGGAGAAAAGAAATGTATGGGGATCTGGTAGTATTTTCCTTGGGGCTTTGCTGTATATGGGTGGTGAAGATGTAGTATGGTCAATGTAATTTTTCAACATGACTTGGTAGGCTAACAATTTATTCTTGCATCAACGCATAAGAACAAGAATGGTATTCAGAATTACCCAACCAACTTTTTGAGTTGTACACAATTATGTGAAGCATTGGAGAGAGGGGAACGAATGTTGATATATGAAACCTCTATTGTGTTTTGGTGTTTCTCTTTTTTCTTTGTGTCTTGCAATTTTGGGTAAATTTCGTGTCCTCTTCTTTGTACTTTATTGTATTCCAATGAAAATTTGTGTTTCTTGTCAGAAAAATGCTGATAACTGAAATCAGGATAATAGATTTATTTGCTTTTGATAGAATGATTCTTATGGATGATGTTTCTTTCAGAGATTGGGAGTTTCTAGAGAAGAATAATATTCAGATGTTTCTTTTATGTGTTGGAATCTAATGTGCTGTGGATTAAGGGCTCTAGGATTGGTCAAGTGATGTACTAAAGCTTCAGGTTCTAGTTCTTAAAATGCCTCAAATTCGAAAAGTCAGTGGTACTGTTATATACTTATTTCGTGGTGAAGATCTGCTTGTTCTTGTTTATATGGGAGAGATGCTGCAACATGAGAAAGTTTTTCTTGGGTTGGGGGGGGGATCATGTCTTGAGATTTGACTTGGTGATAAGTGTTTGCCCTTGGTCTACATTGATTAGGGGCCCAACAAACGTGTGAAATACTCTGCTTGAGAAGTATTATTACAAGACCGCAACTAAAAATAATTGACGAGGGCTTGCACAAGTGATGAAACATGTGGTTTAATTCAATGTACTGCACAAAACTTTACTAGGAACAACAAAAATTGTCCTTAAAAGGGATTTTACTGACTGTCACACGGGTGCGACATGGCTGTGGTCAGCTTGTGTTGTGAAGTGTTTTTTTTTCAAGTCCTATAATGAGTGAAACTCTCGTTTTGTGATGTTGAGACATGTGTTTATGGAGAAAGTCTTTGCAACCGAAGTGAGCCGAAGAGGTAAGTGACGTGCCAACGAATTATCTTCAACTTGTCTGCTCTGAAAATGAAGTTTGATCAACCTTAAATCGACCATAGATCAACCTTAAATCGACCATAGACCTATAATCCTCTGTTTGGTTTGGCGGAATTTGTAACCCGTGAAGCTTGCGACATCTAAACCTACCATAGTTAATCGTAGCAACTCTATCACAGCTTTCCAAAAGATGTCGTTCATCACCTACTTTCATATATGATAACAATTGGAGTGGGAGAAAGGAAATACATCACAGTTTTGATGACAAGATTGCCCACGTAATAATGATGATTGTGCCAGTGATTCTACAGCTGAAATTACTAGCTGCTATATAAGATAAGGTGCAATTACAGTTGCCTCTGGATGATAGTTGGTGATTTTTGGTTCGAAATAGGTGCTCAATCTATTTGGGTTGAGGATTAACGAAGATTCTTTTCATGAATAAGGTTAACTTTTTAAGGAACAGTCTTTTCTTAATACCTGAAAGTGACATGAGAAGTGTCAATGCCATGACAATAGTACTTGTACCGAAAGTTCTATTGGGAAAGTGGGAAAAATGTTTGTTTTAAAGTACTAATTTTGCTCAAATGGCCTAGTTTGCGCTGCATTTGAAATTTTACCACGTCACACTTAGTGAGAGCAATGTGTTAGCGATCAAACCTAGATTTTTAGTCCTCGTGATAATGGCAGATGCCACTTGTTTAGACTTTTGTAGCCTCACCATGAGATGGTTGTTGCTGATCAATTTGTGTAGGCTATATGACAAAGTGTGCAGTCGTAAATGGTTATGGAGCATTTAACATGTCATCACTTAGACAAACTAAATATTACAATATGTTGGACTAGGGTATACCACTACAGGTTCTGAATATACTCCTTTTAGATTACTAGCAATGCACGACGTTCATTGTACATGAGCATATTTAAATAATAATTAGGTGTTGAATAATTAATTCTTATTTTAATTATTTTTAAACTTAATTATTGGTTTATTCCACTCCTCTTTGAATACCTATTCTGTCATTTTTTTAGGCATCTCCCTAGCCTCTTTAGACATTTTCTCTTTTGTTTATAATGGAGCTTCGTTGTAAGTTTATCATTCTTGAGTATTTGCATAACTAATTATTTTATAGATTTATCACATTTTTTTGTTCAATAGATTGATTAAATTTTAATACTACTATTTGTATTTTAATATTATGATATTGTTGTATACCAAAAAATTAAATATGACATATGTTTAACTGTTGAATCCAATTTGACAACTACATGTATATAATACAAAATATAGGTTGGACTTTACTTCTTCATATAAATATAAACATAAATATAGAAAATTGTATATAATAGTACTGCTAATAAATGAGTCCAAAAGAAGTCAAATGGTACGAATAAAAAATCCAAAAGAACTTGAAATGTTGCATTTATTTCAACATAGGTGTGGGATTTTGTAACCTTGCAAGCATGCATTGTTGCGGCATACAATTCCTTTTTTTTTTTTGAGTTTATTGTATCCAATTTCTCACATTCAAGGTTATTTCAGTTAGTAGGATATTCTATGTTCTATTTAACTTTGCCTTGTCAGGTTGTCGTTAGTGGTGAAATGATAGAGTACTATGACATATCTGGCTGTTATATTATGCGTCCATGGACCATGTCCATCTGGGAGATCATGCAAGTGAGTGTGTACTTTCGTTTTAGTCCTTTTAATATTTTTACTGCTGAAACTTTTTTAATCACCGTGGCAATATTTTGGCTGGTAAGCTATATATGGATCTTCTTGACGAGTAGCTCAGATGAATAATTTTTAAAGGAGATAAAAATTGTCCTTTTGCTTTTGCACTTCTGAATTTGGGATGTAAATATTGAATTATGCAATAATGTCTATTTGCAGGCATTCTTCGATGCAGAGATTAAGAAGATGAAAATCAAGAACTGCTACTTCCCCCTTTTTGTATCTCCTGGTGTTCTACAAAAGGAGAAGGATCACGTAGAGGGATTTGCTCCTGAGGTGAATTTTTAGTTCTTGTGGCTGGATAGCATTTAACTAAACTTCCTTTACATACTAGTGTGCTATTTTTATGCCCTCGAAACACTTGGTTTTGGATTATAAGAGCCAGCATTGGTTTATATTTGCCATTATTGACAAGCCTTGCATTATTGAGGCAGTTCTAATCTGGGGTGAGCTGCCAAGAATGTTCATATATTGGCTATCCTATTATAATGCAACCTATTGTCTTGCCAAGATTTAACATTGTTAGTTTGGTGATTACGAACTAATTTTTTCCTTGGGAAATCGTGCATAAGCAGTCATCCTGCAATAAGAATTACAGGAATTAGTTATGTCTTTGTAATTGCTAATTTATTGCATCCTTCAATAAGTTGCTCCTACATCATGTAGAGGAGGAATTGCACTTTTGATTGACAAGCAGGCAAAACAGTCCTCACCTTGACGTGGATATTTTGGTTTTTATCGTCCAAGCTAGCAGAGCAGCTCTGACTGGTGCACTAGATAAGCCACTGTGATTTGTTGTCTGGCAGGATGAAACTTATGTAACTTGCTGCTGACAGCAATACTTTGGCAACTTGGATTTCTTACTAGTTTTTTGTTTTTGTCATCAGATTCTTATTGTCTCAACCTACACTTGATTTTGTCTGCCTCGTCCCTTGTAATGATCCTGACGCGGATCACATTACTGTTCTTCACTACTTGTAGTTACTGTTATTTGTCTCCCATTGCCAAACAATCTTAGCTAGTTTTGAAATGGTTTATTTTTTTGGTTTGTGTTTCTTCCACACATAAACATGCTGTTTTTAAGCCCAAAATTATGCCCCTAGTTTGTGCAGCTGTTTTATTGGATTTTTTTTTCAGCCTCGTAAATAAATAGTGATCTCAGAGAATGAATATCTTTGTACTGTTTGGTTTGTGTTTCTGGGTGCCATGAACAATGCATTAATTGTTTGCTAAATGGTTTCCTATAATATTAACTGTGTTTGTTGGACTGGTATGTGATGCTGCTCCACTGCTTTGATTATTCGTCTAGTTTTTCACTGCTGTGTCATTGAACTTTTCAGGTTGCTTGGGTTACAAAATCCGGAGAATCTGATTTGGAAGTGCCCATTGCAATTCGTCCAACTAGTGAAACTGTTATGTATCCCTATTATTCTAAGTGGATAAGAGGACATCGTGATTTGCCATTGAAATTAAATCAGTGGTGCAATGTTGTTAGATGGGAATTTAGTAATCCTACTCCATTTATCAGGTATCTTGGGCTTTTCATCAATTCCTTGTTCTTTGCTACCTGGTATGCTGGACATATTCTTCTGCTACTAGTAAGAAATTTGCAACTGCAGTCAGTGGGCCAATTGGTACTGTTTTGTTTTTTTATTCGAGAAGTAAATTGGCATGGTTTGACCTGATGGTAGGTGGTCATGGCCGCAACGTTTTTGTTGGTCAAGTGATTGAGTTTTAATTATCTCTGTGAAGCTTCAATTCCGCTAGAACAAGCTTAATATGTTTTTGCATGGTGGCTTTTTTTCCTTTGCAGTCAAATTTTTTTGGCCTTTTCATATTTATATCTTGTCAAGGCATGGGTGCCATATTGTGTGGCCTAATTGGTTGCATTATGATTATCTATGTGAAGTATTTCACATTTGCCATACAGATTGTATTTGCACTGGTTTTTCTTTCTTTCTTGGTTCCATGTTTATTCGTTTTTTTTTTTCCGATTTGCAAGAGCATTGTTTCCACTTGTTAATTTCTATTAATATTATTTTTATCTTAGTTATCAAATGTTGGAAAATCGCTTCAGTCAAACACTACATTTATCTATGAAATAATTTGCTTTGTTGTTCGTTTCTTGATGACAATTTTGAATGATTTTGTTTGGTTCTCCATAATCCAGAATCTGGTTTAGTTATTTGTTTTGCAGTGCTAATTTTCATTTTGATTATAGGAGTCGTGAGTTTCTTTGGCAAGAAGGGCACACTGCTTTTGCAACTAAGATGGAAGCAGATCAAGAGGTATCAAATTTAGGTTATAAATCTTGCATTTTGGTCAAACCATGGTCCCTAGAGTGTGTGAGTTGTATCTTGAAGATCTGTAAATTCAAAACCTTATATCTGATTCGTACTAAAATTTTAAATCTTCTAAATTAAATTCCAGCCTTGTTGAAAGAGAAATTATTGTATGGGATTTATGGAAGTTCACTGTTTTTTTACCTGAATTTTTCCGGCCTGCAGTATTTTGGCCTTAGCAAATGATGGTTTTCTATCATTTATTAAGGCATTCACAATAAACACCATGTTTTTCAGCCCCTATCTTGTAACTTAGGATTTGTGTTGTAATATTTGCTTAGGTTTGTTGCTAAAATTCAGAGTTTGATGCTTCATATTGCTCACATTCTTTGTCAGTCAGTATTGATATATCCGAACATTTGTTTTGTTGCATCAACTAATTACAACTTAAAGCCACAATTTGTATATTCATTCCACAATTTGTATATTCATTCCAGCTTGTATGCTACTTCTTTCCCATTTGACTCGAATTTCGAGGAATCTCTTACACTCACGCTCACGTCTATACGCATTTTGCGTAATCCAGCTAAAAGGTGTTTTTATTTTATTTTATCGAAAAGGCTGTGTCTTATTTCAATATCTCTACCACCAATGAACTCTAGAACTGGTGTTAGTTTTGACGAAGAAGGTGTTTCGCAGTTGGGACACTAATATTTTAAGAAGGGACGTGTCTAATGGTACAGCCAGAACAAATTAGTCAAGTGTTTGGTTCCAATGCTTGACTTCTCGAATCTACTTGCCTGCAATTTTCTCTTCTTTTTTTGGGCATGTTTTGGTTGTAAAGCGTTGTGACTGTTGATTTATTACAGGTTCTTGAAATCTTAGAACTCTATAGACGTATATATGAAGAATTTTTGGCAATTCCTGTCGTAAAGGGGAAGAAAAGTGAGCTTGAGAAGTTTGCTGGTGGACTTTATACAACCAGTGTTGAGGTACTTGCTCTCACAACACCCCCCCTTGTGCATGGGGTCCGGTCCCTCTGTGGGCCCCCTTTTTTTTACCNTTATTTTTATCTTAGTTATCAAATGTTGGAAAATCGCTTCAGTCAAACACTACATTTATCTATGAAATAATTTGCTTTGTTGTTCGTTTCTTGATGACAATTTTGAATGATTTTGTTTGGTTCTCCATAATCCAGAATCTGGTTTAGTTATTTGTTTTGCAGTGCTAATTTTCATTTTGATTATAGGAGTCGTGAGTTTCTTTGGCAAGAAGGGCACACTGCTTTTGCAACTAAGATGGAAGCAGATCAAGAGGTATCAAATTTAGGTTATAAATCTTGCATTTTGGTCAAACCATGGTCCCTAGAGTGTGTGAGTTGTATCTTGAAGATCTGTAAATTCAAAACCTTATATCTGATTCGTACTAAAATTTTAAATCTTCTAAATTAAATTCCAGCCTTGTTGAAAGAGAAATTATTGTATGGGATTTATGGAAGTTCACTGTTTTTTTACCTGAATTTTTCCGGCCTGCAGTATTTTGGCCTTAGCAAATGATGGTTTTCTATCATTTATTAAGGCATTCACAATAAACACCATGTTTTTCAGCCCCTATCTTGTAACTTAGGATTTGTGTTGTAATATTTGCTTAGGTTTGTTGCTAAAATTCAGAGTTTGATGCTTCATATTGCTCACATTCTTTGTCAGTCAGTATTGATATATCCGAACATTTGTTTTGTTGCATCAACTAATTACAACTTAAAGCCACAATTTGTATATTCATTCCACAATTTGTATATTCATTCCAGCTTGTATGCTACTTCTTTCCCATTTGACTCGAATTTCGAGGAATCTCTTACACTCACGCTCACGTCTATACGCATTTTGCGTAATCCAGCTAAAAGGTGTTTTTATTTTATTTTATCGAAAAGGCTGTGTCTTATTTCAATATCTCTACCACCAATGAACTCTAGAACTGGTGTTAGTTTTGACGAAGAAGGTGTTTCGCAGTTGGGACACTAATATTTTAAGAAGGGACGTGTCTAATGGTACAGCCAGAACAAATTAGTCAAGTGTTTGGTTCCAATGCTTGACTTCTCGAATCTACTTGCCTGCAATTTTCTCTTCTTTTTTTGGGCATGTTTTGGTTGTAAAGCGTTGTGACTGTTGATTTATTACAGGTTCTTGAAATCTTAGAACTCTATAGACGTATATATGAAGAATTTTTGGCAATTCCTGTCGTAAAGGGGAAGAAAAGTGAGCTTGAGAAGTTTGCTGGTGGACTTTATACAACCAGTGTTGAGGTACTTGCTCTCACAACACCCCCCCTTGTGCATGGGGTCCGGTCCCTCTGTGGGCCCCCTTTTTTTTACCATATTTGTCTGAATTTATAAGTATCGTTTTCTAGGCTTTTATTCCTCATACGGGTCGTGGTATACAAGGTGCAACTTCACACTGCTTGGGCCAAAATTTTGCAAAAATGTTTGAGATCAATTTTGAGAATGAGAAGGGAGAAAAGGCTATGGTCTGGCAGAATTCTTGGGCATATAGTACTAGAACGGTAAACCAAATAGTCTGTTTTTATCTGTTTGAGACTGGTAGTTGTAATATATCTGCAAATGTGTTGCTACCTGCTATGGGTTTTACAAACTGTTCGTACTGGTTATGCTGCGTGTGTGAGTTTTGAGCTGAGTCACTATCTGATTGTTTACATCTTTATGCAATTACTAATATTTTATATGCGCTGAATTCTGTGTCTGCTTGCAACTAATGAAACATTTTCTCAGGGAACATTGGTGAGTTATTTTGGTTGCTGAATGTGCTATCATGCAGATTTAAAGATGATAGCTTTTTGGTTCTTCGAGGTCTACTTGATTTTTCCCACTTCTGTATTTTATGGCTGTCAGAAAACCATGAAAACTACGAACATAAAAGATCTAGGCCTAAAAGAAAGGGGATGTGACTAAGTTTTCATAGTTTTCTTATTCTTTTACCTAATATTAACTTCGGACGTCTTTGGGAGCAAGGCTAATCTGACGGAGCGTATGGGGGGTTTTGTGGTGGGCTTTAGGTTGGGTAAAACAAGTGTATTTATGGTTCTTGTAGGTGGGTTGGTGGTAGGTGTAGGGTTGTGAATGGGTCGGGATTTTGGCTTGGGTATTTTTAATAACTTTGCTGAATTTCCAACAATAAGTGAGCTGCAAGCTCTGGGCAGCAATCATGTCATAGGTTTTCATCTCAAATTAGGGATAAATGTTAGGGAAACAATTTAGACCAACTAGGGTTGATGTGGGCATGGTAGAGGTTTGGGGGCTAAAATTGGAGATCTTCAAGAATCCTACTTGAAATTATCTAGGGTTTACTCCCTAAAATGAGGTTGCATTGTACTTTAGGATCTCTTTTTTAAAGTAGACACACAACACTATAAATAAAATTTTGTCATACACTTCATTCAGAAATAGATAATACAACTAAGAATAAAAGAGACTAGATTCTTCAGGATCCAGAGAGCTTGTGGTCAAGTAAACGGATCATTCTAAATGTACCCATAGTAGGTGATATGTACAGTCTTGGCAGTCAGTCCCAAATAAGATCAACTGTCTACAAGTACAATCCATCTTCAGCAATTATTGAAATTATCTAAATGCTCAACTCTAAAACCTAAGTAAACTTATAAATCACGCACTAAGAGCAAATATGAGAAGAAATAGACAAAAGAATCAGTCTTAATCAATGCGAAACTTGAATAGATAAGGTGATACAAGTGGTCCAATGTGGTATCACAAACTTGTGCTTTCTTGTTTCCATAATCATTTACTGTAAGTTCAGAAAAGATACCCTCCATGTTTTCTGTACTTGATTCCATTCTATTGTGAAGTATGACTATTAGGCTGTGTATTTTGTGCTGATATGGAAACCATCTATCGATATGTATCTGGACATGGTGGTTTTCATTTGTATATGTTGGTTTATAGGCAGTATGGAAGTATCTAAATTTATGATTACTCAACTATTTATTTGAGAGCATAAGTATGGACTGCATGCAAAACTTTCGTTGTTTTGTTTTTCTTTTCATTTTGTTTACTTAGTAATTCATTATGTGGGTTGAATCAGAAGTGGCTGTATATTGTGTAATACTCTTTTCTTTGGTTAGCGAGCATCGATGTGATCTCTGCCTGAGATTCATCAGCAACGTAATCCCTAGTTGTTGCTTAGTCCTTGCTGGATAGCTGTACTGTTTGCTTTCATCTGCATATTTGTGTTCCTTTTCGATTTCTAGTTAAAATGAAAATGATGGTATGATGTTTTGTGCATCATTCGTTATTTACCAGGCCTGCCTTAAATTTTGGATTGAGTGGCAATAGATGAACAGATTGGGGGAAAACGCTAAATGACATAGTGGAACCCAAGATCTCATAGAGCAAAGCTCTCGCACCATGTTAGACATTTAATGTATGCCAATCTCTTAACAGTCTTGCTGATACAATAAACCACAAATTTTGATGTTGGATAAGCAAATAAAAGAACTTGAGTTTAGAACTATATTGAGTTCAACAAGAGAGCCAAAATCTTAAACTGCCTGATGTTCTTGCCATGTGTACTTGTTCTACTCTCAGCTCCATTTGGGGTTATGTCCATCAAAACATATGCCAGGATGACTGGAAAATATATATTCTGTTTTGCTAGGCATTTTATCAGCGTACATTGTAAAAATTGTTTTATCCAGGAACTGATGTAGCCGTTTAGGGATCCTAAGTAGAAAATTTGATTTTAAAAATACGTGTTGGAAAAAATGTTTCCCTCGTACTTGTGTTCTGTTTCCTCCATATACATTTTTGGTTGTAATTCAGCTAAACTTTGTTTATCCTGATTGGTTTGATAAGCACTTGTCCCGTCAGATTGGTATTTTTTACTCTCTTTCTCACATGACACACAATTACTCAGATTGGCGTGATGGTCATGGTTCATGGGGATGATAAAGGCCTGGTGATGCCTCCTAAAGTTGCAGCTAGCCAAATTGTTGTGATTCCTGTGCCTTACAAAGATGCCGATACTAAAGGGATATTTGATGCCTGTGCTGCCACTGTGGAAACTTTGACCGAGTCAGGTTTTCGTGCTGAGGCAGACTTCAGAGATAATTATTCACCTGGCTGGAAGTATTCTCACTGGGAAATGAAGGGTGTCCCTCTCAGGATTGAAATAGGACCAAAAGACCTGGCTAATAATCAGGTGAGCAAATATTTTTGCTCTCTCGTGCGCTGTGTTTCAGTGCATTTTGGACTGTCTGATATGTGTAATCATAAAATGCTCTGATTTCCTTATAGGTGCGTGCAGTCCGCCGTGACAATTCAGCTAAAATTGATATACCCACTGCCAATTTGGTTGAACAAGTGAAATACATGCTGGACAATATTCAACAAAACCTGTTGGAGGCTGCAAAGCAAAAACGAGATGCCTGCATTCAGGTTGTGAAAACCTGGGACGAATTTATTGAAGCCCTGAGCCAAAAGAAATTGATCTTGGCTCCTTGGTGTGATGAAGAGGTATAACATCTACGTTTCCTCTTGTATTTAATTTTATGTTTTAACATTTATCTTGCCTATACGGAGTGCATCTTGGTATTGAGACTTGTCATGATCTTTATGCATTAATTAGAACAATTTCATGGGGCCACTCGTACTTGTTTATTTATGGGGTGTATTACAACATGCATTTTCTACAATCCACAAGTTTTTCTTCATTGATATTTCTTTTCCTCTTGAACACTGCAATTTTTTTTTTTGGGATTCTTCCTTCCCTCTCCCAAGGGGTGGAGCCAGAAGATTATATCTGAGTGGGCACTTTAACAAAATAATTTTTTTACCAAATCGAGAGAAGAAAACTATCACATTAATATTCATTTACATCATATTTTTTATTTGTCACTTAAAAATTCATTACACAATTGCTAAAAATCAGTATTCTTAGTGTATACAAGGAGAAAAAAAACAAAATGGGTAACTATAAAATAACATCAATATATTTGAATCGAATGTACCAAAAACATGTCGAAAAATTGATAGTCATTAAATTATAATTCTAATAATTGATACAAATAAGGTGGGCATAGTAAAAAAATCCTTAAGAAATCTTTGAAATATATGTAACTAATGGTAAGGAAGAAAGTTTGAGTCCTATAGTGGCTCTGCTAGTGCCTCTCCCTCTCCCTCTCCCTCTTCCTCTTCCTCTTCCTCTTCCTCTTCCGTTTTGGTTATCAGTGGAACTCTATCACCAGCTATCTTTTTTTAATTTTTTTGGGTTTTTCCTCCTTTTCTCTCTCTAGTGGTCCGGTCTATGTTTGTGGAGCAACTGCTTTCATTTTTTTTTCTTATTTGTATGGAATATTGCCCGAGGTTGAACTTCTCTTATAGTCTTTATTCATTTTCAATTTCGTCAACTTTCATAGTATTTCTTATGTGTAATGCTTTAGGAAGTGGAGAAGGATGTGAAGACACGAACAAAAGGGGAGATGGGTGCAGCTAAGACCCTATGTTCTCCATTTGACCAGCCAGAACTGCCCGAAGGTACCATTTCCTGCTTTTGGGCTCAACTACTCCAGCTATATCAAGTTATAATGTAAACAATGCATATATCAGCTGCAAACTGATTGTGTGTTCCTTGAACATGGCTGAATGATGCTCTTTATTCATGCAGATACCTTGTGTTTTGCCTCGGGCAGACCAGCCAAGAAATGGACCTACTGGGGGCGAAGTTACTGAAAACTAGTTTATGTTCACTTATGGGGTTCTTTCAGGAATGTTGCTAGAAGCCACTAGGATGAACCGAAGATTTGTGTACTGCAATCAACTGTGATTGGTTTTTACTTGATAGGGAGTGATGCAGAATTTTCTCTGCTATTTATACCGGGCTACTTCTTTGCCCTAAATGCAATAACCATTTTCAGAAAGCTGAATTACATTGTTAAATTTAAGGAGACGCGGCAATTGGTTAGATACTGTTTGTACACTATACTGTGAACGTTATGTTATGATCTTGTTCCAAAAAAAAAAAACCATTATGTTATGATTGTCTTCCTCTCTAAACATTTTCTGTCGGGGGCTGCTGAATTTGTTGTGAGGGCCTAATGATTCTGCAGTTCTTAGTGTCCACAAAATGCTGGACTACGGTGGCTGTAGTGTATAGATTGGTATGGATTAAGGGGTGGTTATTGAGCTGGGCGAGGCCATCAGTGATTGCTCATGCTGGCCCATGCGCTGGGCCGCAAGGACATTGGCTGTTTTATGGGTTGGATTGAGGTGGCCGTCTTCAAAGGTCTCCCCAAAGCTGGGTCACCGAGTTGGTTCAATTTATTTTCTTTCGCCGTTAAACCATCGGCTGGTACAATGGCACTTTCTTTTCAAAGTTCGTCTATTTTTGCTTTCTTTTTAAATTTTGTTAGGTTTATGGACAGGATTGCTTTCCTATTGGTAAAAGAGAGTACCTGTTGGGCGAACTAGTTGTCATTTAGTGGGTCAAGCTGGCTAATGACCCATTAGGTTGTTGGGCTTTTGGATTAATTTGCAGCCTGTGGGTCGCAGTGTATACCGATGCTTAGTCACAGGAATCTACTTCATGTTTTCAGTGTTTTAGGGGTTTTTTTGGGGTGGGTATTTTTTTTAAGATTTATTTGAGAGAAAGTGTATGAATAAGTATTTTTAATTTTAATAAAATATCATGATTAGGTACAAAATTTAAAGCACATTTGAATTTTTTTTACTTATTTACCTTTTCTTCAATTATGCATAAATTTTATTCTCCTAATCTCCATTAGTCTCTCACTATCGCTTCCTATTTTCTCTCCATCCCTCTCTCTCTCTCTCTCTCCATATCTCTCACCTATTTTCTCTCTTTATCTTTATTGATAATTTATTTTCTTTTCAAATATGTAAAGATTTGATTTGAATTTTTCATCTCTCTCTGTTTTCCTTTATTTTCTCTCACTATTACTCTCATTATTTTTTTCTCTTTATATTAACATTACAATAACACAATTACACTATTCAATTACACAAATTAGTTACAATTGTCTTATAGTACACCAAACAATTACTCATATGTTTTAATAAACCAAATAGTTACACCAAACAATTACATAAAATTATGACATCAACCCAATTTATCATTCAGTTCTGAGTTTGCACCTTTTAGTATCACGACATAGTTATACTAATTATATACATCAAATTTGGTATAATGGTAAAATCTTTTGTATAATAATAAATCCAATTTGGCATATACACTTGGCATAATCATGTTGTAATACTAAATTATGTAACTCTTTGGTTTATGTAAATATCTGAATGACAAATTAGGTTGATGTTGTTGTAAAATCCCATACTAGAATTAAACAAGAATAATATTATATTAATATTTGTCCTAGGATGAATAAAAGGATTGTAGAAACTTTGAATCCTTGTTAAAAGATTGATTATGAAGTTTGAGTTTCGGATGAATTGATTTTCGGGTCAAACTTAGTTTCGAATATGTGTAAACTTGAGAAGGGTGATTAGGTAAGTTTCTAAATGTTTTTAGGTCAAAATAATGTCTTCATTGAATTCAGAAGCTCGAGAAACCTTGAGAGGTAATATGGAGTGTATTAGAAGTTAGAAAATATTCCAGAGTTAAAGCGCATTTAGAAAGAATTCGGTAGGAAGGATTTTAACACTACTTTAGTATTTTAGTCATAAATTTTAATTTGAACTTCGATTGAGCTTATTTTTGGATAGTATAAACTAGAATTTAACGACTACAAAAGTGTATTTCACGAAAATTTATTGAATCGACTTCTAAATAAGTGAAAACTACTTCGAAAGTCAGGGCAGAAAGTTGGCACTGTTTGGATGTCTCAAGCACCGTTTGAACGGTACTCCCCACCCTAAAATCTTGTTTTTCATCCAAAACAAAGACTTGGCACCATCCAGACGCCCAAGCACCGTTCGGATGCCACCCTAAAATTGGTCCCAATCAGTTTTAGAGTTTTTCTTCATTTTTCACCCTATAAATACCATAAGGATGCCCCTTTAGCCATGTTTTATTAGTTTTCAACCCTAGGCAACCTTAGAGAGTGAGAGAGAAGGAGAAAACACAAGATTCGAAGGGATTCTTGTGTTGGGATTGATTGAAACACGCTAAGGCCATCTTCAAACATCGGATTGAGGTAGAAGATTATTCTCAAGTTCTTTCATTGAGACTTAAGGTATTATATATATGTATGTTTTCAATCTTCTTGATAGTTATATGATAAATACTTATGAGTTCCTGGTTTCTTTATCATTGAAACATAGTTTTTAACAAAATACATGTTTGGGTTCAAGGAATACTTGTTCTTGAATTTCTAAAACTCTAGTTTTCTAAAAATATGTTGGATTGTGAAAAATACATGAATTCTCGATTTTGAAATTCCTATTCTTGATTAAATCATGTTTTCATCTAATATTTGTTCTTGTTTCAAGAAATTATGATTTTTGGAAAAATCTTAGAATTTTGATATTGAAGTTGTGAAGGTTTTCTTACTATGATCTATTGTATATTTTAATTCCTTAATTACAATAGTATATTGAGAATTGTGCAATTGTGATACTTGAATTTTTATGAAATTTGTAATTGGTTAAGATTGCGGTTGTTGAGAAAATTGTGGTTTCATCTCTTGTATAGTTTGGGTGTGACAGACTAGAATTGTCTTTGAGAGCTGCCATAAAGTGTTAGAGGTTAGTTTATCCCAGTGGAGGTGAGATGGTTTCCTAACACTTAGAGTAGATTATTGTTTGTGAGAGTAATCACTATTGTTCAAGTAAGTTTGAGGATGAGGGATGGTATACCTTTCTTGGGAAGGTTTCGTCAATGTTGTGGGAGACGATATACGCCCTTCCTAAAGTGGTTTATGATTTGGCCCTGCGGAGAATGAATGGGATTTTGTGGTTGTGACGTGTGAACAAGGTAGAATAGTTGTGTAGATTTTTGATAAGTAACCAATATACATGAGAATTGAGATGAACTAACATATATGAGAATAGGAGATGATGATATTGATTTATTTATTGAATGCTTTAAATTCTTGCAAGTTTATTCCTGTCATTGATTTACTATATTTCGTACATTTGAGATCATTACAACTATCATGGTTTTACTCTCAAAATCTATATATGTTATTTTCTAAAAGAGACTTACCTTCTTTATGTTCGTTTTAAAACCTTGTTGGGGTTTGAAAGGGAATTCCTACGGGCTTTTGCTCACCCCTTACAACCACACACTTACAGATTTTTGGCATATAAGAGAATGTCGATGTTGATGAGAAAATTGATTACGAGACACTGGAGAATCAAGATGTGGAGGCTTAGAGATGCTTCTTCATAGTCTAGATTATTTTTAGAGTTGGCTACGGAATAATTTTTTAGCTAGTCTTAATTATTCCGCTGCTAGATACTATTTGTGTTTGAATTGTAAGTTGGAGAAGTTACAATATTTTATTGACTTTAGTATTTATTCTTTGTCAGATAAATGAATAATTTATTATTTAATGGTTATTATTAGTTGCTCTCATGATTGAATGGTTTCTAGATAATAATGCCTTCCAGGGTGAATTTTTGGGGTGTAACAGTTATAATTTCATGTAATTGTTTAATGTAACTGTTTGATTTATTAGAACAAATGAGTAACTGTTTGGTATATGATAAGGTAATTGTAACTAATTGATGTAACTAATTGATGTAATTGTATTATTGTAACGTTGATATAAGAGAAGAGAGAGAATAAAAGGAGAAAGGTGACGGTGAGAGAAAATAGGGGAGATAGATAAAAAAATTATATTAAATCTTTACATATTTGAAAAAAAAATTTATCAATGTGAGAGAAAGAGATAGATAAAGAGAAATTAGGAAAGAGAAAGTGAGAAAGTAATGGAGAGAGAGAGGGAGTAATGGAGAACTAAATGGTTTTTTAGTCTTTTTTCAAAAAAATGCACTTAGGGCCAAATAAGTTTATTTAATGTAGTTTAGCTAAATTAAGTCCAAATTTTTATACCGGCTTCCAAATTTCCCATGTTTTAGACCTTATTTGTAAGGACAAAATGGATCTTATTGTGTTGATTTCTTTATGATCATTGATCTTAAAAATGATAAAATATGAAAAAATACACGTGTCATGTTTGATTAGTGAAGAATAGTCTAAGGTACAATCTTGAAAAATAAATTTTGGTACGGTAGTTGGAGTATATTTATTAGTGAGGTATTTAGAGAAGAATGATAATTAATGAAGGAGCATAAAATTATACCACGTGGATGGGTAGGTGAAATAGGTACTTGGACATGAAAAGACAAGGTCACGCGGGGCTTAAGTACCTACAGTTTGGATCAAACTGAACCGAGTTGCAACAACTTGGTTCATGTTATTGAGCAGGAGTGCATGGCACAGCCTGGAGGTATGGCATAAACCGAACAATGAGATAATTGCCTATAATCAAGGTATTTAGTTGTAACAGCTAGGCAGAGTCAATGGCTTAGAAGAGTAGGGATTAAGGGAGCGTTAGAGAGATTTCTATGACTGCCAACAAACCAATAAAGGGAATCCCTGAAGCATGGTGAAGTCTATATAAAGCAATGAGGACGTATAGCATGAGGTAATTTGAATCCTTTTGAACACATTTTTTATACGTTATGCTATACCTCATGCTATGGCGTAAGATCTTAATTGTAGGAGGATAAAAAATCACAGTACCTCCCAA